GAACCCTCATCATCCTGCAAAAACATGCATCTTCTATTTAGGTAGGGGTTATGCATGTGGCTCCTTCCTATACTTCAGATCAAAGAAACATTTGGGGCAAAATGACCATCACCTTGAACCACTATCCTGGGGGAAAAATTAAGACAAAGGATCAAAAGACTAGAAAAAAATAGCACAAAAATGCTGCAGGCAAAGAGATGCATCTCCACCCCAAGAGAAAAATATTCCTTTTTAATAAATTCCTGTAATGTTTTGTAGATATTGAAAATATTCCAAAGTATAGCTCCGTGTAAATAGCAAGCTGGGTCTCCTCCTGCTCTTTAGCATTTCTCTTTGTTTACTCTCCATTTGAGGATAGAAAAAGCCTACAAGTGAGCACTGCAAATGGTGTATTTCAGGATGGATGGGATATTCAGAAAGACAGACACACGTAGCCTCCAATAAAACATGATGTACTCTGCCCAAGCCACCAGGGTCAAACAAACTAAAAAAATAAAAAAATAAAAAATAAAATAAAAAGGAAAAATCCAGTGTCTGCTTTATGAATGCTTCTCATTTGTGTGTGGAAATAATCTGATACCATGGTGATGGGAAGATGATATCCAGATTAGAGAGAGAGGCATGAAAAATATATTCTGGGCTGTGTGTATTCTCACCCTCATTGCCTTCTTGCTGCCAAACCCCATGTCTCAGGAGCAGAGATCCTGTGGGAGATTGCCCTGGCAGTGCTTCTGGAAGCAATGCCCAGCCAGGCCAGTTCACCCATTGCAAGGAGAGGTACTTGGCTAGAGACACCAGCTCCCATCTGTGAGCCCAAATGGCTCTGCTCAGCCCCTGCTCATCTCAGAAGAGCTTGGCATGTTCATCTGGTTAAAAAAACAACCCTTACCTTTGGCAATCAGCTCCTCCAGCTCCTGGTCGAATCCTTGTCGGTGGCATTTCCTCCAGAGCCCCATATTGGTGGAGTTGTACTGTCTGTTGCACTCGTCGACTGCGCTCATAGCAAAGATCTGCCTCCTGTTTCTTGCCAAGAGGAGTTTCCCTTCCCAGCGGTCCAACCTAGACCTGCTGGCCCTGAGAGGCAGGTTGTTGTTGGAGTTATAAATGAAGCCAGGATCATTTCTCTTAGTGGTGATGCTCTTGCACCTCTCCCTGTGCTTCCTGGCATCAGTTTCATACCAATGGTCAGAGCAGATTGCCACAGCCAGCATGCCAAGGGCACACAGAGCTAAAGAGAGGCCAGCATAGAGCAGTAACCTTCCAGCAGCCATGCCTCAGCTTCACAGAAACACCATGGACATCTTCACAACAGGCAAAGCCGTTGGGGGTGAGACCATGCAAAAGCCACCGGAGCAGCTGCTAGGTGTCACTTGGCACAGACTGCCTCAAACATCCCCAACTCCCGTGGCTCACATCCACGCTGCAGAGGGATGCTGAGAGCACTACAAAGTTCTGCTCTGGAGGCAGTCTTGGAGTCTCATCTGCCTCTTCTTCTCTGCAGAGGAGACCTGGTGAGGAGAAACACAGACTTTCACCAGTGACTCCCTCACCACAAGCACCCAAGTTACAGGGGCTGAAGGGATGAATCCCCCTGAAGACTCCTGATGGCTGATCAGTCCATTAATCTCTTTCAATCTGGCCCGCTCAAAAATCCAGAAGAGATGGCTTTCAGATCAGCAAGCTCACTATAGCATCATCACAGGACAGAAAAGTTCAACAGCCTGACATCTCCCACTTGCAAGCAGCCAGTTGTCCCGATGTCAGGAATGGGTGACTTGCTTTTTCTTTGTCAGTGGCTCAGCAAGAGCATCATCGTCTGGACGGTCGGTCACTTGCTTGGGTTTAAAGCGGGGTCGAAAGGGAGGGAGTGAGGAGGGGGAGCAATCTGTTGTTGTTGTTGCTGCTGCCGCTGCTACCGCTGCTGCTGCTGTTTGAAATCGTGGTTAAAGCATCCCCTCCCCGGTTGGCTCTGGGAACGCGGGCACTCACGCGTCTCTCCCTCAGCAGACTTCGCTGACAGCCACTGGCATCTTGGCTTCGGAGACACCTCGGCTTCTCTCTGCCAGCCTTCCCTTTCACTCTCCTGCTTTTGTCGCAGGCGCTGTCATCCAGGCAGCCGAACGCCGCGCTGCCTTCCTCCCGGCAGCGCTCCGGCAGCCTCCGGCTCTGGGCCGGGCAGGGGCGGCGGAGCAGCCGCAGCCCGGCAGGAGCCGCCGCCGGCCGCGCAGCGCCCGCTACGCAGCGCGGGGGGCTGCCCTCGGCCCCGGCATCCTGCTTCCACGCACACACACACACGCTGCTGCCCCCACTTCCTCCGGCAGCTGAAAAGCTTCCTCCGTCCCCGGCGCTGGGATGTGTTGTGCACAGTTTTCCTAACACGGCGGCACGTTAGCCATCTGCAAGATGAAGGCGGGCAGGGCTACGGCTGGCGGAGAGGATGCTGAGGAACGGGGAGGGGAGGGAGGTCGGGGGAAACCGAACCAAAACAAACCGGGGTGGAGAGGCGGAGGGGCGGAGGTGGGGGGGAGCTACACACCTTACACGGGGAGAGGAAAGCAGCCCCTAACTGTTGTCAACAGCTTTCGGGCTGCACCATTTCTATGCCATATGGCCCGATCTCCTCGTCGGAGCGGAGATGTTTTAGCTCAGCAGCTTGGTACGAATTGTATCCCCGGCATCAGTAGTTATATATTCAGACATATTTTTTTTTCTTCCTTAAATTTTCACTCCCTTTCTCTTTAATGGGAATAACTCACCCATCTTGTAGAGATCAAATGCAACAGAAGGCGAGCTGCAGTCCCCAAGCTTTAGAAATTTCATTTCACCGTTTTTAACCCAAATAATAGCAAATCCAATCTTCTGTACACCTGGGATTCTTTCCTTGTTCAAACACCGAGCCCTGCAGCCTTGGCCGAAGCCTACAGACCGAGCATACAGAGCTCTGAGCCAAAAGCCAGTGATGTCACCCATGCAACGTGAGACTCATTTCTTATTTCTCTATCCTCCTTAAAGATAAACTGCACCACTTCCCAGGCAAGAAATGTCGAAGCCTTCCTTTCTTAAGAGGGGAAAATGTAAAACCTGGATTTAACTGGATCTTCATCATTCTTGATCACAAGCCCTTACATTATGTCAACCAAATCCAAAACAAGTGGAGCTGTTTCTCACTGCACCAAAAAAATCCCAGCCTGCTACATAGTAGAGAGCTTGAAAGAAATCCTGGATTCTAGATCCAGAAAGCTGAGGCCTCCAGACTGTGAAATGTACTGTTTAAAAAAGAAATACACATGGTCATTTCCCTTGCACCAGAAAGGCCTGGATGCTGGCACATTCTGACCACAGCATCCTGCAGTTGACAGAGGAACCAAATTAGCTCCAACCAATATTTGGCTCCGCCTGACTCCACAGCATGAAAGGCAAACAATGCAGTTGCTCCTACTGCACCAAAAAGTCCACAGTCCAATGCCTCCCCACAGATGTATGCTACAAAAATCTATATCCATACTGGATCCTACCAGCTTTTGGCCCCTGAATCCCAAGCTGTGTCATCTGAATTGAAAATAAGCACAGCCTCTGTGGGGCTGGTGACAGCTCTTGCCCCCAAGAGGAGAGCCCTGAGATTTTGCTAGCTTTTAACCCTAGTCACCCAAATTATACTTGCTCCAGTGGGGAGAGCAGATGTGGTAGCTCTTTGTGGATCGGAAATACATACCTGCATTTTCTTGTAGAATACAGCTGCACCGGGAAAATACTAACCTGTATGGCTGGACCATAACAAGTTTTGGCACCAAACCAAATTGTATTTTTGAAAAAAAACCCCAAAATATCTCCCATTTTACCTGGCAAAACCAGGGTCCAGATCAAGTGGGATTGCAGCTATGGAGTATCTGTGTCATTAAACCATTTTTGGTGTGAAATGTACTGTATTCTCTAAACACCTTGCAGAATTATGAAACTGACAAAGAAAAGTCAGTCATCCAAACCATAAAGGTTATAATCATCTCCATCTACTGAACCAGGTCTATTGCAAAATTTCACTGTTGTGTTATGAATATTCACTGTATCTGGAAAGGTCTAGGTAAATTTAAGAGTTTTACTGGAAAAAGGGACTAGTTTAATTTTTTAAATAGTAACTTCCCTTTGTTGTTAATAATAACAGCCAATATTTAAAAATCTCAGGTTTTTTTTAAAAATAGTTCAGCACAGATGGATCCACTTCTATAACTGGATTTTTCAAGCAACTACATGTCAGTAGATGTTACAGTAGACCTGGAGCAAATACTTGTTGTCTGTTCAGAGATAAAATTTAGAGTTTTGTGGTGAAAAGCTGTTGGCTCCTATAAGAACATGGAGGTTTCTTGTATCACACCCACACAGAGATGAAAATGCACCTGGATTTCTTTGTCAATTTTTAGCAGCAAGTCCCAAGCTGAAGTATGAAACAGGGAACAGGCCTAATTTTACCAGCCATATTTTTTGGCTGATTGTTGGATTTTCTGTTCAAGCACAAGAGCCTGCTATGCTTATTCTCTATTTAGATTGAATTTGAAAACAAAACTGGGTTTTGCCTGATCCAGTTCTAACAGAGCTGGAAGACTGGGACTAAGAGCAGAATGGAAGAACCAGCTAATAGAACTGGTTTTTCTCATTTTGCTGGCCAAAGATATGTGAGAGGATGGGAAAATCATATAATGGAATCACACCTACATTTCCTTCTCGTTAAACATTAGGATTTCAGTCCAAAGAGCCAAATTTTGGTTAGACCCAGAGAGGTTCAGGTGCCAGGCTTTCCCATCACATTCCAAGACAACAAGACAGTTTGTGGCACGAGGACTTTTGTACCTGGAGAAGCCAGACTTGTTCTGTCTTCCCATTCTTAAGCATGGTTTTGAAAGCCCAAATTGACATTCAGTTCCAGGTTTTATCTTTTTCTCTGAAAAGTCATTTTACTGGCAGTTTCTATGCTTCCCCCCCCCCCCCCCCCTTTGCTTGCATTTGTAGCTTTATCAGATGCAGTCTATATCTTTCTGTAAGTCACCTTAAACATATAACTGCAAAAGAAATTGTTGGATTTTAGCCCCTCTTTAACTCTTAGAATTAAACATTTTTCCAAATCATCACCACTTTTTTTCGGGAGGGGAGAATATTGCTTGCTGCAGGCATTAGGAACCTGCCCTATGTCTCTAACCGGGATTATTACAGACAGCCCCTTCTCAGCATAAACAGATCATTATTAAATTTTCTTCCTCCCACCCCACCCTGCCTCACTACAGGGAGAAAAAACAACCCTTGTCGATCTTCTGATGAATGTAAGCTGGGAGAAAGACATTTAAAAAAAAAAAAATAAAAACCCACAACCCCTCCACGTACACACGACATGGAAACCGCTCCCGACAATGAATTAAGGACATCTCAGTGCAGGGAGCTAATTCATGGCTCTTAAATGAATCAGGGGGTGAAAATGCAGTTTCAGCGACGGAATGAAAGCTGAGGTTTTCTTTTCTGCGGGTTACAATTTCAGTGATCCACGGAGAAAGCCAGAATGCACAGGAAAACATGTCTGAAGGCACGGGGCAGAGGAGCGGAGCCCGGTGAGTCTGTTCAGAGGCAGTTCCTTGTGCCCAGCCGTGCTGCCTGCCAGACCTCCCCAGGGACGATGTCCCAGAGCTGGGGCCGGTCTCCTCCGTTCCAGCATCGCTCCCGCTCCCTGAGCATCCTCCAGCGACCATCGCCCACCGCCCCTCCAGAGCTGCAGACACAAAAGCAAAGAGAGCGCCTCTACAAAGGTACACAGAGGTGGGGTCTGGGGCTAGGAGGGGGAAGGGCAGAGTAAATGGACAGAGTAAATGTACAACCAATTGCAATTTGCATTTCTTCGTCGGTTTTTTTTTTTTTCTGGGGTCTTTTTTTGTTTGTTTGTTTTGGGGGGGTGGGGTCTTTTCTACATCAAAATGACCTCCACCATATTTTTCTTCCTTCGTCTTTCTTTTTTTTTATTTTTTTTTCTTTTTAAATAAAAAGAATTCAGTGCCATCTAGTGGGGGAGGGGATCGAGCAAGTCAAGGTGCTGCCGATTCCCACGATCTATACTTCCAATTCAGTTATTCAACAGGGAGAGACGACCCTCGGTATTTCCCTGCTCTCTCTGTGGTCTGCAGCTCCCCAGAGGTGATGTTTAATTTACATGGGCTCCAGCCTTCATTCTTTGTAAAGAATCACCTACTGAAGTCAAAGGAACTCGTCCTAGTGTTGTATTACCTGAAGCAGTGCTGGCTCTGGAGGCAGTTCACTGCCCTAATTACAGGATTTCAAACACAAGACAGTAATCAAACCAAACATAGATATAACAAATTACGTCTACTAACATTTTTTATCATTCCAGTGCACCTTGAATACTGGTCTCTGTGAATCCTCAGCATGTCAGCCCTTCTAATAACACAGTCATAAAAGATGCTACCATAATAGCGCCTTATGATAACTCCCACAAACACTTGACCCATCATTCAAACAGATTTGGGGTGTTCAGGTGACTCAGAACCAAACAGAGGCTCTATAAAGGAAGATCTGAACCACAAAACACTATATAAAACTTTGTAATCTAAACCCCAGGCATTAACCAGTTGTCAATGTCCCTTCTATTTTTTTTTTAACTGGAAAAGAGTTTTCAAAGGGAAGCATCAGCCAGCTGCATAAACACGGGCTAGCCACACACACATACACACACATACACTCTCAGAGACACAGAGAATAGGCACACAGCTGTCTACATACTTGTGTAGCTGTGCACACACTGATATCTAGCTGCACACAACAGCACCTAGTTGGATGTCCTCTACCCTCCCCACTGACAACTCCCCAAAGAGATTAGTTTTGCTCTCTCTAAAAATAAAAAAAAAAAGTTAAGCAAGTTAGTGAATGCCAGATTTAAGATCATTCATTAATTTGCCCAGCATACAAACACTATGATACAATCTTTAATAATATGATTTTTGTTTCCATGGGTCTCCCATTTTTTACAGTGCAAGGGATGAATGTTGCTCACTTAATGAACACTATTCAAATTTTCTCCTATCCTTATCATCCAATGTGTGGTGCATGTACTATTTATTGCAGAGCATCCAGATCTCACATTGCATACAGAATGATTAATTTCCTCATGGGCTTTTCTATTGTGGTGCTCTAATTGTAGTGTTGGAGGGCTGGGGGATTTTTTACAAACATCAAGGAACTTATCTTCACAGCTCCCTGCTGAGGGACAGAGATAAAAGGCAGTATTTTCAAACATGTCAGTATATTTTGGGTACTCTATTAAAAGAACTTAGAGCCTAAGCTTCCAGAGTACTTAGCACCTTCTTTCCTCCGAGAACAAACAGCTCACAGCCCCTTTTGCTCTAGGTACAGTGGGCAGAATTTCCACAAATTAGTCATGGGTGACTGAAACTGGACACACAGAAAATGGGGACCACATGTACAGAAGTTGGGAAGAATGTAATTTTTTTGAATCACCAAGCTTCATAACAGTAAATTTCACAAAGGGTGAAACAAAATCCGGTTTTCAATTTAAATTCAAATGCCTGTGACCATGACTTTTCCTACCTGTCCTCATCTGCTAGGCTTACTGCTCAGCCTCCAAACTGTCCACCAAACAGCCACCACCTCAGGACTGCAGAGTCCTGGTTCATCTGACATCTACAGTAAATGAAAACAGAATCTGGGCAGAAATCAGGATGTGATAATGTATTTTACCTCATGACCACAAGTCACAAGTGAATGGCAGTCCATGGGCAATATTTATTTTGGTGTTTTCTTAGAGTCTTCATTTACTGACCTGAGGTTGTGATGGACAAGGGAAGCACACAAGAGCTGAGGTCAGGAGCTGAATGGAAGGTATCATCAAAAGAATAGATTTGGTTTTGGAGAAAGCAAAATGAATTGCTGGGCCAAAGGCAGGAGGACAGGTAGGTGAGATGTCTTAGACCATATTTTTCAATAAAGCAGAGGGAATGGCCAACACTAAAGGGCCTCACAGAGAGACCAGTAAAAGATTGTGCACACATAAAAAGAACATCAGTATAATGTTGTTTTTCCAAAGACAAAACAAAACAAAACAAAAGGCTGTTGGCTTTTCACTAAAATTGCTTCCTCCTGTTAAAACTTTTCATTATTTATCTGTCAGCTAAACCACATCACTGTTAACAACCTAAGGCTGCACTGTGGACATGGCTATGTATGATAATCACTGCTCTTCATGAGAACATCTCCAGGAATGCTTTTAAGCTCAGGCAAAACAAAGATGAACTATTTTAAACAAAACTTTTCCCTGCACTGCCCAGTGTGGACAGCTTGGAAAATGTCAGCCCAAGCAGTTGAAGTTTAGCAGAGCTATAAGGTGCTGAAAACAAGGCCAGGTAGGCAAACTCAGATGACTGAAAACATTATCCCTGAACCCCTGCACCACCTCTACACAGCCCGAGTGTCCATGGGCACTGTGCTAAACTGCAGAAAGACTTGGGAGATACTACTGCACCTCTGAAGGCATTGCCAACAGCTTTAGTGGTTTCAACCAGGTGGTAGGATCTAAATGTAGATCATGCCATGTTTAACATATTGAGTTCTAAAGTCAAATACTTGGGAAAGCCATTCAGGTCTCTTGAGTCCTGGGTAAACACTCAAGTGCTTCCAGTAACAGAGGAGAAACAAGAATGTTTAAAGAAAAGGAAAAGGCCTAAGCTGCAGAGGTTTAAGCCTCTATTGGAAGAGAAAGTTCTGCTCGAGACAACTCAGATAAAGCAAGGCTCTTTCAAATTCATCTCCCTAAATACAGAAAACAGATCTTAGCCCCAGCTCTCACAAGCAGAGATTCAGCTCCAATTTACTGCTCTCTGAGATCACAGCAGTCACTCTGAGTTCTGCTTACTGTCTTGCCAACAACTTCACGTTCTACAGCTTCTTCTCTGAGCTGGACAGGCTTCTGCATGAACAGACCTGTTTCCTCAAAAGCCTTGCTATGAGGACTGCTGCTTGATTCAAGCCCATCTCTGCTTCCCCCTGTTTGCCTTTTGGATACATCAAGCCCAGCCTCCTACCCAAAATCCTGCTACAGGAAAAACCCATTGCTTGCTGCAGAGAGGAAGGTGACATTGCTCTGAATGCAGGAGTTTTATAGCAAGGTCACTTGCTGCCTAAAGCCAGCTACAAAAGCAAGATGGCTCTCAACATCACCATCATTGGGCTCAGCTGAAAACAGGAGATTTCACTTCATTAAAATTCATAGATCTTGTGACTCTTATAGAAATAGCAAGAAGAATCCAGGATGGCAGAGATGAGATATTAGGGCCAAAGAGTACTGACTGAGAGCAAAAGCTCAGACCTCTGTCTGCCAAAAATAAGCATATTTGGTAAGAGGTGGCTTTAATTCTTAAAGTTACATCTAACACATTGATCTTCAATATATTAAAGCCTGATTAATTCTGTTTTTTCTTTACTGCATCAATATGTATTCATATAGGCAACCTAATGCAAAGGTATATCTGCAGTACTGTTGGGTTGCTTGACATGGCAAGTCAAACTGCACTAAACTTCCCCTAAACTTCTGACAGATTTCAGAATACATTGTTCATTCCCACAGAGAGTTTTGGACATGGTTTCTACCAGCAGTATTTTCTGAGCTAATGCAGTGAAAGTCATTGCCACAGCCTTTGTAGATGGATAACGTGGTGTTTCATAGTGAATGTATCACATTTGTGATTGACTCTCAGCTATTAATTAAATTCATTGCTTCTTTTAGTCACAAAAGAAGAAAAATGATTAATTAAAAATCAGAATTCACAGATCATAAGAAGACATCACAGAAGCAACTGGAGAGAAAACCAGTAATCAAAACAAAAACCAGCAACTGCTTGGAAAATTATATTCTCTAAAAGCACTCCTTCATTTTGGAACAAGACTCAGAAGCAAGACTTCAGTCTTCACCTATTCTATTTGACTGCGAAGTCCCAACAGAGTAGATTCATTTAAATAATTTTTTTAAAAGGTATATAAAAATATATTGTGTGCTGCTGTAAAAGCAGCTGACATCTAGGATGATAAACTCTCTATTTAGACATAAGCATGCTGCCATCTTCAACAGTTTTGCATTTACTTCTCTTCATTTATTATCACCTATTATATTTGCATCAAAATAAAGTAGCTGGTTCTTCAGAGTTCATCTGTTTGTGCAGTTCATTTCCCCAACTCATGCTTCAGGACTGTGATATCACAATTACACCTTGCACTCTGAAGTTGTTCCAGGGAGAACTGCTGGGCCATGACAGACAGGCATTTATTCCCCTTTGCTGCAATGGCCTCCAGTAAGTACCCACCAAACAAGAAATCATGGGGAGTACCAAGCTTCAGTGACCATACTCTGATTGTCCATGATAAAGAAACAGGCCTGCAAGAAGTTACTTGTTTCCAGAGAAATAATGTTTCCAAGACTAAGAAACAAAATTTCCCAATGACAAAAAACAAAAACAAAAACAAACAAACAAACAAACAAACAAACAAAAACCACAACAACAAAAAAACCTGAAAATTTATGACTCACAGAAATAAAATCTGAAGAAGGAATTTTTCTCAGGAAAAAGGGAACAAATGTCCAGAAAGCATGTGTAGGAGCATGGCTTACTCAGCCTGGGTACCAGCAAGGTCAGAGAGAAAGAACTGAACCAAAAAAAGGCCTCTACAGAATGCTTCTAACAGGCTGAAGCAACTGAGGCTGAGAAGTGCATGTATTGATTATGATTCTCCAGACAGGCAAATTCTAAACCAGAGAGCACCTCTGGTTCCATAACTAACAGCAGCCTCATGTCACCCACCAGGACTACAGCAAGGAACTCCAAACTAAAACCAAAACTATTATCTGTTTCAATAACTCTGCCTTCAAAAGGCTCTGTGGGGGAGGAAGGTTGATCAATGATGTTTAGGTCTACAAAGAGCACTACTGAAATGACTGGGTACCTGGGAGTCCAGACAGATCTTGGAAAAATCTGCTGACTTAGAAATCAAGGCAGCCAGAGTGGCTATCCAGAGTGCTCCCAAAGACCTAACAATCTATCCCGTGATCAGCACTGGTCGAGATATTCTAAGACAAGAAGTGACCTAAACCAGGAAAATATTAAGAGAAATCTGCATTGAAATGCACCACAGGGGTCAACAGAGGTCAACAAAATCAAAGTCTGCTGTAACTCAGGGCAACCACCAGCTCACAAACCCAAGAGGTCTAGATCCAAGACAGTATCTTGAAAAGAGTTCAGCTTGAAGAAACAGAAATGTGAACTCAAACAGACCCAACTAATCTCCTTGGATTTTATGTTTAAGAGATTGATTTATTCCTGAAAATTCTATTGCTGGAACATTTTTATTCACTCTGTTTTCACACTTGGTCAAACAGAATTAGAGATTAACAGTTTTGTGATCCCGTTTGAAAGCCTTGGTGGATGTCCTTTCAGATGAGTGTTGCAAGGAATTATGGAAGAGAAACTACAAGAGCTTTTATCAGCAGTGAGCCAGATGTCTCCATTATTTATTCTCTTTTGCTGATTCTGTCATTTTAATATTTGTCCTTTTTTTTCCTCCCCTCTGCAATCCTCTGTTCCAGCCAAAAAATATGTGTCTTTGTTACTGTTGCCTTTAAAAATTTTATGTGCATGTTGCTAGGAAAGTAACAATAACAGTTCTGTAGTATGTTTTTCACAAGGGGAAGCCAAAACATTTTCTAAGAATCAATTAATCTTCACAACCCATTTCTGAAGCAGACATTATTTTCCCCAGTTTACAGAGAGATGAAATGGCAGACAGGTTAATTAACTTGCTCAAGGTCATCCAGTGAGTTAGCAATCGAGCTGCAAAAAAACCCCAAGATTCAACAATTCCCATTCCCAAACCCTTCACCTAACCACTAAGAAATATCCCTTCTCTTCGGGCTTAAGTATTTTGTTGAAATCTATCACTGACCACTTATTCTGACATATTGTTGAATTCCAAATTAGTCAGTCTAAGTGACAAAGATGGAAGCGTGGGGAGCTCCACAGCATCCTTTGCCTGTTCAGCCTTGTGCAGAGCCACTACGCCGGACAGCTCCTCTCCCATTAAAAATGGATGTGTTACAGATCTCCTGCAGAACTGCCAATATCATTGCAGGCACTGCTCCGAGGGCGCTGCACAAGAGACACACGGCACCGGCTCACTTTCCCCAGGAGGAGGGAAGGCTGCCTCAACAGCCTGGCTGCTGGGGAAAGCAATCAACTCAAAATACCAAGTAGCTTTGAAAAATAATTTCTGTTTTCCTCTTAAACTGCATCTCCCTTCCAAGTGTTCCCTGTGTTAGACAGCTGGAGTGGCAGTACTTAATAGTGACATCTTTGTGGATTCCACTCTGGCATTAGTTTGATGAGTTACTTTAAAGTCAAAATATCCTTTAAATGCCCACCCAGAGTCTGTCAGTCTCTTAACACTGCGCATTCTCTCCGGAGGGATTTGCAATTCAGATGTCTTCACGGCTCAGCATGAATTGCTGTGCAACAAAATACAGTTGAAATTTTCCAATTAATCATGAACACATAATGAATAACAAATTATTTTTAAACATGCATGTAGCCAATGCAGTTCTACCAAATGCTCAGAGGGTCCTTCTACTTACTCAGATGATTTTGTTCCATTATTTATGTCAGTATTTATTACAATAAAATGTTAGAGATCATGTTGCAGCACAACAGTTTTAAGCATAAGACTTAAGAATGAAGTTGATCACTTTGTCATACAGGTACTGCTCAAATGCCTCATTTCCAAGATCAAAGGATACAAGTTCAGACTCTGCTTTCCTCCAAATGTCAATAAACAAGCACCAATGAGCAGACTGTCACCGTGATCTTTTTTTCTTTCTGGGTATACCTTTGCCTTATCAGGACAAACAATGGAACAAATGCTGCATTTTGTCAAGATTTTGCCTTAGAGCTGTCATTCAGTTATAAATTAAATACATACAGAAGATGAATTAAATAGACAAACAATTCTAGATCACTATTGATCAAAACTACTGCCAACTATTTGTGAAAAGGTTCTTCATTATACTTTATCGTGAGGTCTCTTCTCTTTTTTTTCTCTTTGGCTGCTTTGCAGGTGTTCCATGAATGTCTCTCCCCTCTCTTCATTTCCTTTCTCCACAACAGTCCCTGTACAGAGAATCCCCATGTTGTCTTCTACTCCATGTCATTCTCCTTTAACTCCTTTCTAGGGTTTTCAGCTTTTTCACTCACCCATCTCCCACTGACTTTCTTGTTAATAATTGTTAACAAGTCCAAACACTTTGCTCTGCTTGCAACAAAAAGCTCAAGAGGATCTAACAACATGTCCATCAAATTCAGCTCATCACAAACCCACCCATTCCTGCAGTCAGTCTCTGCTGCATTCTTCCATTCCCTTAGCATGCCAAGTCTCATTTGGACTCTGAAGACCTCGAGGTGGGGATGTTGAGTTTGCACTCTCTGACAGAATATAGGGAGACACAGTGTCCCAGATAAGGTGAGCAAGACTTTTTGGGTCCATGGATTGCAAACCAGATCATTCTCCGTCTGTGCAAATTTGCAGATGTGTTGAGTTGTTGTTTTGTTGACTGATGTGACCCCAATTTTCCATTCTGAGTGTCTGCACACTGCCTTACTGGCACACTAACCCTGGCTGGGTGCTCTGCAAGCAATTCTCCTCATAACCACAGCAACAACAGTGACATAAATAGACCCTTGTAAGTGTACATTTTTCCTTTGATTTCATAATAATAGTGGTAATGGCTGACAGGAGAAACAGCTGAGGAAAAAGGCAGAAAAATTTAAATAATGCAGACCTTTTTATATTTGTGCTTCCACCACACCAAAAAGACCATGCTGGAGCCTGCAAGTATAGGCAGCAGCAACACTTTGAAGGAAAGAGGAAGATGCTTTCCAGTGGTCTATATGCCAGTTTTCAGAGTGTGTAACATGTAAGTAAAATATTTTCATTGATGAGGAGGAATGAGATTGAACTGATGTAACTACTGAATCAGGCAGGATGATTTAACAAAATTGATTAAAATACTTTGCTCCAATCCTTTAACATAAATGAAGAAATTTGAAGATTGAGAAGGTAAGAGTGCATATGAAAACACCATCATTATTCTAGAGATGCAGAGACAGTAATTTGTTCCAACTAACCCTGTTAAGGAGGGCTGGAATGAAGTGGAGCTGACTGCAGAGAATCAGGCTGCTTATCCCTGCACTGTACCAGAAGTGTGCTCAGTTTGAAGCTGTGTGAGGAAAAAGCCCCAACAGCCAGAAGCCACATCTCATTACACTTTCCAAAAACTTATTTTCTGTGACAGACTGCACTTCTGTTAATCCAGTCTGCATGGAAGAAGTACTTTTGAACTCATAATGTTTAAACAACTTAATCACAGAACAAAAAGGGGGTATCTGTTTAGGAACCAGTAATCATAATTTGATTATAACAAGGACAGTTGTTATAAAAAGGACAAAGGACAAAGTCCCAGTCAGGGAAATTGTCTCTCTTTTTCCCCCCCGCCACACTCTCTGTCACACACACAGGGATGCTTCAGAGTGACCTTCTCCATAAAGATGGGAGAAATGATGAGAAAATTGCTATTCAAAAATAGAGACAGATATGTAAATGAGAATACTTATGATCTTACTCCACATAGTCATGATTGCTTAATTAACAAAATGGCCAATTTTGGCTGAAGGACAACTTTGTCTCAGCAGCAGAGTGAAGGAAGCGCCCAGAAGTTAAAAGCATGGTATAGAACAACACAGAAAGGCAAAATAAAGGAAAAAATGTTCTGTTAATACAAAAAATGAAGACTACAGGAATAACATAAATGGTGTGACTACAGACAGCAAAATGAGGGGCGCAATAGTGCTGATTTGTGTGTCTAGAGATGGTAAAATAGCATAGAAGTGGCAGAAATGCTAAAAACCTCTATTTCCTCCTTAGAAATATTAAGGAAGAGGCACTTTTCCTATCTTGCAGGAAAAAAAAAAAAGAAAAAATAAGCACTTTTCCATCCATTAGTCAGTTATGAAAATGGTAGGCAAGATCTACTAGAGCAAACATTTTAAAATTAGGATGTCTACAGAACTTTTATATGACAGTGTTTGATTAACTGGTTGAAGAAATTCCATTAATGTTCATTCTTAATAATCACAGAATCATATAAAGGCTTGGGCCACAGAGGAACTTAAATATCATCTAGTTCCAGCCCCTCCCTGCCATGGGCAGGAACACCTTCCACTAGATCAGGAATAGAAAGGGAATTAGAGGATCATGCCAATATTCAAAAAGGACAAGAAAGGAGAATGGGTTGCACAGGCCATGAGGCTGCTCTGCCTGTGACAAGCATGGAAAAGGTGACAGAAAATTAATTAAGGAAGGATGACAGAATAACAATTTGTTCAATGCTTGGCAGAATTTGCTCTTCTAGAAAATAGGGCAAGCCAGACAAACCCAATTTGCTTCTTTGATGGCATTACACATTTGGCATATAAATGCAATCACATAATTGTCATTTACTCAGATGTTTGCACAGAGTCTGATTTAGCACCTCCTGGCACTGATTAAAAATTAGCATAAATCAAGCACTGGGAAAGCTCATCTCTAGTGGGATTGTCAGAGGCCAGAGGTGTGCCAGGGGAAGTGTAGCAGGGTCAGGTGCCCATCCCCACACCTCAGGGGCTCCCCTGGGAACACACCACACTCCAGGTTCGGGGCATGGAGTGAGTGACCAGCTCGCCACCTTCACCAGCAGCAAGAGACCAAGAGGACACTTGTGCTGAAAGACTGAGATTGCGCAGGTAAATTTGCCAAGGGAGATACATTTATGCAGCTGAATAACCATCTTCGAAAACAAGCAGCAGGAGGGAAGCAAAAGTTATGAGAGAAAGGAGTGGCAAAGAGCACAGGAGACATACACCCTGAATTTGGAGTAGAGAAACAATCTCTCAAAGTGGTTTGGAAACACAGTGAATGACAAACATTTGTGGGGCTACTAAACTCTCATCTCTTTTCAGTAAAACCAGATTTTGACATTTGTCCCAGTTTGCAGCCTGGACAAGGCCATGAGTGAAGACCTGGCTTTCAGCTCTTTGTGTAAATTCATGCTCTCTCCCAAGAGTAAAACCAGCTTGGTTTTATTAACCTGAACACACGTTCTTACGGAGCGAGGCTGCTGACTGGACGTGCCAGTGTGGACACCTCACACCACCCTTCCTTCCCTGGCAAAACCAAAGAATAAGGCTCTATGTGGACTTGTCATCAGCTTTTAATGAGGATATCCGCTTTTCTCATTTCGTTATTAGATTTAAGCATATAATTCCAAAGCTGCTTAAATGAAAGAAAGGGAGTCACAACGAAAACGTTTTGCTCTTGACGCAGGAGGGTGCGACCCTCTCCTGGTGTGATCCTTGTGGGTCTCTCCCAGCTCAGGATACTCTGTGATTCCGTGGCTCCAGCACCGTGGGGACAGCTCCCGGCGAGCCGCCATGGAGCGCGGGGAAGGAGCGGGAACAGCAGCGGGAGGAGGAGGAGGAGGAGGAGGAGGAGGAGGAGGAGGAGGAGGACGATCCGCCCTTGCCCGCCCGTCCCGCCCCTCGCGTCAGCCGTGCGCGCCGGCTCCCCTCGGGCGGCGCCGCTCCTCCGCCGCGGCCCGGCGCGGTGAGCGGGGCCGGGCGGGCTCCGGGGTGCCGGGCGGGGCCGTGTCCCCGGGAGCCGCAGCCCTCGGGATCCGCAGCCCTCGGGATCCGCAGCCCTCGGGATCCGCAGCCCTCGGTCCCGTCCCGACGGGAAGCGGGGCCGGCCCGGCCTGAGGCGAGCGGCGCTCGCCGCGGGCTGAGCTCCGCGGCGGCCTGGTCTTCCCCCCTTGCTCCTGGGAAATCCAGAAGTAACGCGGGGGAAAGGGCGTTCTGCTGGCGTTCCGAGTGGGAAGGGAGCGATCCGAAAGAAGCGGGTGGATCGGGAATGAAGAATAAGCAGCGCAGGGCGGGGGCGCTGGGCTGTGGGTGGGCGTGGGGAGCCGGGAGCGGGGCCCCGGCAGCGCTGGACGCGGGTTCTGGGTTAGGTGTGCTAACTCCTGGCGGGCCATGCTGGGGATGTCACTGCTGCAGGTGACAGTACGAAAGCAGTCTTTAGTCTCACAGGTGTTGCATCTCACAAAGTCACCCTAGAACTGGCTTTTGATAGCTCTGGGAGTCTGCAGCCTTTGCTTTGCTTCTCTCCCAAGCGTTCTTAGTCGGGCAAGGGTTAATGGAGTCCCCAGACTCAGCTTGGGCTGTTACAATTCCTTCAGCGAGTCAGAAGTGAAAATCGGGTTCCTCAGAAATGAAAATCAGGTTCCTCAGACCACAGGTTTGCTAAAGGTATTTTCATTTTAAGGTTGCAGTAAGTAGAGATTAAGCAAGTTGCGCGTTTGAGTCTGGTGATAAAGACACACTTTTGGAGTCCTGTGATGAAGAGTTTGGGGGACAACTTGTTGCTTTGTCTCTGAATGTAGGAATTAGAACTGGCTGTTCTGAAAGAGATGATTTAGCAATTAGTGATTATGCCCCTTGTAATAGATGCTCACGTTGAACTGTTGCCCTGCAATCATTTAAAAGCTTCTGTATTCTCACACTAGGCCTACTGCCTTAGTCCGATGTCTCATGCTTTGCCTTCCTTTTTGTTACTTTCACCATTATTCTCTCTTCTCAAATTACTTATATTATTTCATGCTTGATTTTTTTTCTGCTTCATTTACAGTGCTTTGCTAACACAGTAAATCAAAGCATGTCCTCCAATGTATATGTACATGAGGTTATGAATACTTCAAATTTGTATTATTAAACAGCAGGCTCTGTGTAATCATACTGAAGTGGACTTAGCACTGTCCTGATGATTACTCTTATCCATGATCTTTAATTTGTTATGCTTATATTCTGGAATCAGCTGTGCAATATTTTTTAAAACAAGAATTTTAAATTTTTACCTCAGTGTCATGCTCTTGAAGGAACCTGCTTAATTTTCTGAAGACTTACCATTCATACAAAAAGGGAAAGTACAGACAAGATACTGCTTCAAATACAGGATTATGGGATTCCTATTCTTGTCTACTACAACCCATTCTGCAAAGAGAGAGTAAAGAAGACTTAAAATGGGGAGGGTTAGGAAAGCTGAGATAACACTCTTCTCATGCTACTTTAGCAGATTGGATGTTGTGTGGTGGCCTAATACAAATGGTTTTGTCTTCGGGGCATTTTTGTTGCAGATGTTTTCGGTGAGAGATGAAATGGGAATCTGCTGATTAATTTTCTTGGAATCTGGCATAGGAAAACTACTGTTCTCCTCTTAAAAAGAATAGGCATCGTGAGAGACTGAAACGAAAATGGAGAAAAAGCAGATGGAGATGATCAAGGGGAAGGAATTGAGATGGAAAAGATCTGTGTGATCCATATAGAGAAACATGATTTGTTTATAGCCCATTGTTACATGGATTATAACAATGTTTTAAATAGGGTGAGAAACTTCCCTGAGGAAAAATTTCCAGGTCCTTTTCTCTGTATGTTCAAGTGGTGCCTTACCTTGTGCTTGTGTAGCAGTCAGTGGTACCACACGGGTGCAATTTTTGGCAGAACTCACACTGTAATTGTTGCTGTGGATTGAGTTTAAGGGTGTCTTGAGCAAGCTGAGTAGATTCTGCTAATAAACCATGCTAGCCATGGTAAATTGTGATGCAGTGGACTTCTATAGTTGGTATTGCTGTCTGGAGGCTGGGAATTGTCCCTGAATTCATGTAGATGTTCTTTATATGCAGGATTACATGCTCAGGTATTAGACTGATTTTATGCAAGGAACGTGTGATGTCGAATGAGTGATCAGTGTATGATACATTCCTTTGTTGGCCTAATTGTGGGATAGCTTGTTCTGCTCTGAGTTGGGTGAAGAGCTGTGGCTCTTCTGTTTGCTTTTGCAGGAAGGTCCACGTGTCTGTGTGTGCCCAGTGCTCCTGGGGAGATGTCCAGTGTTTCCAGCTACGCCCTTCGCATGGCCCGGCTGAGTGCCCAGATATTCGGCGACGTTGTCAGGCCCACAGACTCCAAATCCATGAAGGTGGTGAAGCTGTTCAGCGAGCAGCCCCTGGGCAAGCGGGAGGAGGTGTACAACTGGTACCCCCCTCACAACACCTACTACGCCCTCATGAAGAAACTCCGCTACTTCGGGCTCTACAGGTGCTTCCTGTGCTTGGAGGGTGGGAGCAGGATTGGAGATGGGGGAGTGGGAGCAGGACTGGAGTCTCGTTGCAGTTGTTTTCCTTAAGGACAGTGTTTAGTTCTGAATATGGTGGATACTGAAATAGGCACTTAATTGTTGGCAGTAAGGGCAAGGAGAGCAAAAAAGTGATTGCTGTCTAACTTTTATCATAATTGGAACCTTTTGTGAGAAAGACTTGAGGTTTAGTTGTGGGCAGGCATTTACCTAAGAAATAGTTCCTGCTTTTGCTTTGTGGGGAAGAGAATAAAGCTTTCTGATAGACAGGAGATGGGTCTGTAGTTCTAAATGTGGCAAATTAATGTGCTACAAAGAGGTGATGTTAACACCAGACTTACCATATATCTGTGTCATTCATCAGCTAATAAGTGAAATTTAGAAGAGACAGAAAGTCTCTGTTAGGCCAGAGGGCCTTTTTATTCTTCAAAATAAATTAAATTAAATTTGAATGTGATTTAGTCTTGTTAATTCCAGCTTCATCCAAACCAGTTGTCTAATTTCTAAATTAACTCCCACAGTCTGTATCAGGGAGAATTGTACTGCTGAAGAGCATCAGCAGGAGTCAAATGCAGTTCTTTCACTTCAATCAGGTCACACTAAAAAAATCTTTAAAAGTGAGGCTGCAAACCCTGTATAGTCAAAACAGATTATTTGTCACTAGTATGACAATAGTAACCATCAAGGATTGCATCCAGGTAGGTGTGCCAACACTTTCTAGACTGGCTGTTTGTTTACACAGAAAGCCTCCATGTGATGCTAATGTTCTTTACTCTTCTCCTTTCCCTATTAAGTTCCTTCTCTAGCTGTATACAGAGAGTTGGTAGAAGAAAAAAAAATGTGTAATGAAGAATCATAGACTAATGGGGCCAGTAATAAATCACAAGCTTTTTGTTTCTATTTAGAGAAGTTGTGTTTAAAAATAGCAGTGCAGCAATCTTAGGCCACATAGGATGCAGTCATGATTTTTGAAAATCACTTTGCACTAAAAAATACATGGACAGATTAATACAACTAATTAGAAAGTGATTGAGGATTAATTATCCCTGCCAGCCCCTTCATCCTCCTCCTATTTTACTCTCTTATTAGGATTCTCCCAGTACTGATGCCATCTTCATAACTCATTCCTGAAGTCACCTGAGAGCAGTGCCATGTGCTGAAATTACTGCACAGCATAGCCCTGTTTCCCTAGGAGCTAATGACCCAAACACAAGAGCACAATGTGCTCTGGCTGCACTACTGAGCTGGCTAACAAGGGGGAAAATCTTATTCTTGTCTCTTGCTGATTTTTGCATTTTACTGCTCATTTAAACAAAGGGGATCAAAAAATGCAACTGAAATAATACATATGTGCACACACCCTTTATTGCTGAAAAGGACAACCCTGTTAGTTCTGAAAGTATCAGAGGAAATCTCTCATGTTGTTATTCAGTGATACTGCCTGCAATAACATGGAATACATTGCATGAAGCTTCAGTACAGACTTCATGGTTAAAAAAATCTGATTTTTGTTTTTTATCTTTAGCATATAGTTCAAAGAACCATTGGTATCTCTGCATCCCAAGAAAAAGAATAAACTGTATTCCTTCTTCCCCACCTAGGGATGAGCATCAGGACTTCAGGGAGGAGATGAGGCGACTGAAAAAGCTCCGTGGGAAGGAAAAACCAAAGAAGGGGGAAGGAAAGAGAGCTCTCAAGAAGAAATAGTGCTGCTTGAACAGTGTAACTGACTTCTCTAGAAATGCTGGGGAGTGGCTGGAGAAGGCTTGGCATGTGAGCTGCATGTGGGGCACAAGAAACACGCTGTGAAATTGCGGACTCCACCTTGGGAATGCGTTTGGGTCTTTGAAGTTTTACTGGTTTTGAATTTCTATACTTCAAATATACTCTATATTGCAGCACAGTAATAAAAAAAGAAGTGCTCAGTGTTTTTCTTGAAACCAGCTGTAGCTGTTTCAGTTTTTCTTGATCTGGAAATTGTTTACTTTTCATTGTCTGTTTTACTTTCTTGATATCAACACTTTTGTATGTGTCCACAAAAAAACAAGGATTTCTGCTTCTGCAGCTGCTTGTCAATCTTACCTGTTATAATTAGCTTCATTTCAGGTATCTCTAGTGCTATTTTTTAATGGTTTTTTTAAGGTTTTAGGTTTTTTAAGTTGCTGTTACACTCTGTTGTTCTGTGCTTTTCACTGGACAATACTTCCCAGACCACTGCCTGCCCACAGCACTCTCATTGTACCCTAAACTTTCAGATACTAAAATAGAAGAGTCTGAAATACTAAGTAACTAAATCCATATAATAATGGAACTATTATATGCAATAATTAAATTTTAAATATTTTTTTATAGTAAACTTATTCTGATTGCCTGCAAGACATGTATGAAACACCACCTAAGATGATGAACATTTTTATTCATTCAATAGGGGTTTTATCACTAGGCTTCTTTGGTTGCTACTATTAATCATTGGTGGAGCGACATAAATTTGTAACAGCTCTAGCTCACCAAGGTTATTAATTGAAGAGGTGCTGATTGTGTTAAAAGGTGTTTCTGATGAGCTGCATAGTTCTTGTTCTGTGTCCTTACTTTATGTTACCTGCTTTTCAAAGCTCTAAGAGAAGCTGATTTTAGGAAATCTACAGTGTTGTAGGAGAAGCACCTGAGTTCTTACCATAGTTAAACAAATGCTGTTGAAGTTACTATTTTATATGTACTGCTCTCTATGGCAGAGTAAGTTTCTCTCTTATTCTAATTTAAAATCCTTTTAGTAACTTAGAACTTTTGCTCAACTGTAATGTGTTTAAGACATTTTGTGTTCTGTGTGTTGTCTGTGGGTTGTGACCTGTCTGGTGCTGAAGTACCTGGAGCTTGTGATGGGCCCTCCAAGAAGTTCGTGGTTCCTGGGACATGTGTTTGCAGCTGAGGAGAAGGGTCTGGTTCCCTTGAATTCACCTTTGGGAAGAAGGGCAGCATGGACTCACATACTGGGCAGCAAAGAGAATTATCCAAGTAGAAAGGTTGCTGCTGTCTGACACTTTCTGCCTAGGAGTGTGAGGGGTGAAGTTGTTATATTGCTTGCTTTGGTGAAGAGAAAGACCCATTCTGAACCTCTTCAGCAGAGCTACTGCAGCAGATCTGCACAGCTCTTGATGGCTTCTAAAATTAAATCTAAGATAAACAACGTTTTCCCTGCTATTTAAGATGAAAAATCAAGACCATCTCTTCTGGTGCTGCAAAACTTAAGGCTTTCACAGTATAAACACACAAGGGGCCAAAAGTATGCATGCATCAAAAAGGGAATTGTAGTTCTGTAAAGGAAGTATGAATGGCCTTAAACTTTGTGTGTGCGGGCACACTTGGTAATGAGTAACTTATAGCAATATATAAAATACTTGTACAACATGATGAAACTGACAGAAGTGCCTGTGAAGTAGGAAATGTGAGACAAATGGACTGAATTGTTAATTTTCACCTTTTTTGTGCAGCATTTACAAAAGCAAATGGATGGAGGAAAGAAAACCAAACCTTCTGAAAAAGCATAAGAGAGGTTGCCCTGCCTAATTTTTCATTATTTTTCTTCAGTAATACTCATTTGCTAGAACTTCGTCTTTTCAAAAATGGTTGTTTTCCTTCCCCTAAGTCTTCACCCTAAAATAATGATGACTCAGCCAGTATTGGAGCATATCCTAGTGTTAGCATAACCCATTGCTTGCTGGGACCATTAGCTTTACTATTTTGTTAGAGAAAATACAGCCTTCTCCTTTCCATAGCTGGGATAGGAATAGGCACTTTCCTACCTCCCTTATAACCTGTGCTCTGTCATTTAATAGGAATAGGCATAGCCTGAAGAAGACTGCATTTCATTAATCACATGGACTAGACAGATTGGGAGTCAATCCTGAAGCATCACACAAGGTATAATGCATTAGGTATATTTAGGAGAGGAAGGAGAGTTCCAGCCATGTTCTGAGGGGTAAGGATAGGAACATTATGCCTTATACAGTTATTGGTATAATGGTGTTTTATGTACATCCATTTCATGTATGGATTACCAAGTTTAACTTGATCTTTATTTTCAGTTTTCCCCTTAAAATGATTTTTTTCACCATTAAAACTGCTGTTTTGTTACAAAATTCACTCTTTTCCTGAGGATATGAACTGACTGCCCTCAGAAGATGTATGTTTTAACTCTTGATCAAAATAAACCTGGTTAGCTGACCTCCAAGGGGCTGAGAGTAAAAACTAACCTCTTCCCAATCCTGAGCAGCTTTACTAAGTGCTACTGTTCCTTTATTTTGCAGTGCTCTAGCTATGCCTGTCTTTAATTAGACTCGTGTGATGTATTCATAGCTGCTGAGCACTGCTGTGATAATCACAAGCTATTTTGTAAACAGGCTGACCCAGTTGCTGTATATATCCTATAGGGAGTGCAGCTAGTGCCAGAACCTCTTACTATTGCAAGCCCTGCAGACAGGCAGAAGTTCACTTGCATGTGACTGTACTTTGTAATGGTGGAAAGAAGAAAAACCACTCAGTCTTGCTTTTTGGCAGACCTACCAGTGTGTTAAAATATCTGTGCTCTGCTCAGAAAAGTAGTAACTTGAACAACGTTTCTCCTAATGTGGAAAGAGTCTATTCTACTAATTAAAACAGCGTGCTGAGTTTACACAGCTCTGAGTGAAATGCACCCGAATTTCTCTAAGGTTTTAGATAAATGCTTTGTCTTGCTTGCCTTTTCTTCCCCAAGAGTAAAATTAGAATAATGATCACTTAGTGAACAGCATCATGAGGTTAAGCTGCTTCGAGGATGGGAGTTTACCCCAGGAGAACCCTGTAATGGGCAGCTTAGTCTGGCTTCTCTGGTAGGACTTGTAGCTCTGTTGTTTCAGAGCGATGGTTGTATACAACAGCTGAGGACATTTTTAACACATTAGAGAAGCTGTGGTATGTTACTTGGGTTGCTGTTCTGTATTAAATGTTTAAAATGTCAAGTGCTGAAAAAATCTTGATTTGGTCAGAAAGTAAGAATAAAAGAAAATCACAATTATGTCTTAAACTATAAATATTTTTTGAAAATTTGAAGTATCTATGTACATCTTCCTCTACCAATTTGAGTTTGAAGCCTTATTTTAGGATAATTTAGAAAAACAATCAACAAAGACTGAAAAGATTCACAAATTTAATGTTTTGTGATTTTTTGTTTTTGAAAAGATTCACAAATTTGAAGGGCTGCTTTGATTGAGGGAATGACTGTGTTTTGTGTTCTTTCTTTCTTTTAAAGCAGAAAGGATAATATGCAAGGCAAACACTATGCGGATCTCAGATCCATTTCCTTAAACTCAGTTCTCCTCTGTAACTGATTGTGGACCTTCTTGTACAATCCCTTGGCAGTAGATTCTGAAAAGCAAATCCTTCAAGGGGACAATCCTTCTCTGTTCATCATCTTGATACTGAGATGTGTAAGAGCAGAAATTCTTCCTGGTTAATGTCCTACAGGGGCAGCATAATTTCTCTCAACTGTCCAAACAGCAATGGAAAACTCAAAGGTTCTAATAAAAATTTAAGAGGAAAAAAGATTGTACGAGGGACGTAAGAGAAAGCAGAAATGAAAACAATACCCTTATTATAAATCCTAGAGGTAAAACTTAAATTATGTGTGTAGGCCAGCTATTTAGAATGGATCCTTCTGTGCCTGCACAGCTGAGGTGGCATGAAAAAAGGTGGTTTTGTCTTTTCACTTCTTTCTTCTTTCTTTTCCGTGTCCTTTTCCTCAAGTGTAATAATACTACTAACAATAATAATACTGTCTTGAATACAAAGTGGAAGGAAATGGAAAACATCTGAAAGAATTTCTTGTGAAGGCTCAGTCACAGCAGAACACAGCAATAAAGTGTTCAAATGGGGAGGAGCATAACTCTAGACAGATGCTAGAGGGACACCACCACCACACTGGCTGGGAAGTTATTTAGGGTTGTCTAAGGGGATAAATATGAAGTCAACAGCATAACGATCTTTACATCAAAGTGTGTTTATACATACTGTGCTGAATTGTTCTGGGTGGAATACTGGGGAAAATTCCACAAAGTGAAATATTTAGAAAAACTGAGAAGATTCCCAAGAAGTGGGTTTGGTTTATGTTATCTGAGTCAGGCAGAGCTGGGCTGAGCCAAGTGTTAGAAAATATAGCACTGGGATCACTTCTCTCCTGGAACAGGAGGAGGCAGACTGGATGTTCTAATACATTTTCCTCATATCACAGCTAGGTATTTGAAAATAAATCTCACCCAAGAGCTAAAAAAGGATTTTTATATCCATTAGGTTTTCTGTCTCTGCTTGAAAGTACTTCACTTCATCCCAGGGCTCCTACAGCTGTTTGTAAATATTTCATAGAGTTCAGAGGGTCTCTCTCACTTCAGTTGTTGTTTCTGTGTGTCTGATGTTTGCCTCATGGGCTGCTTCAGTAAATAGGCTTTTAATGGTTTTAGAAGCAAAAAGCACCCGAGGTCCAGAAATTCTAAAAGCCATTCTACTGCCACACACAGTGGTGTTGCTGCAAATATGTAACTGTGAATGCATCACATTCCTCTGTTTCCACTACAGTCTTGCCTGGATAAAAGTGAGTTGGGTTGTTCACCTCCCACCTTTCAAAACCAGATCTCTAAAATGTGATTCCAGGTTAAAACATCTCCAGAAGTGACCTCACTTTAGAAGCTGCATAAATACTGAGTATCTCAACTGGAATCAATGGGATTTACCTCTGTGTGACAGGTAAATCCAATGCCAGCCTCTGGCTGATAGTGGTCTCTTCAAGACAGAAGGGACACTGTCATGTCTATGCATGTCAAAGGCGCTTCCCCAGTGATACTCCCCAGCTGGAATAGATGATCCTTGTGGGTTCCTTCCAGCTCAGCATACTGTGATTCAGTGTGGATCAGAGCTGTGTAAGGCTCTCTGGGTGCCATGCGTTGGTTTCTGCAGAGAAGAGAGCTTCAGAGGCTCTAGGAGAGCCTCATCTGTGAGAGATTGTGCTGGCACCTGGCAATGGTGACTTATTTACAGCCAGCCACCGCTATGGACAAGGTGAGACATTTCTCATTTCTGTACTTGCATGCAAAGGAGCCTCTGTGCAACAGGCAGCATCCAGTGCTGCTCTGAGTGTTTCTGGAGGAGCAACTGTTGGCTGTTGAGTAAGAAACGACACAGACTCACAGAAGGCTGGTTTGCACAGCATCTCGCTTTACTTCAAAATTCTCTCTTATACACTCTTCTGATACAGACAGATCAGATTGGTCAATTAATCAATACATTTCACCTGATTGGCTAATTAACAAAATGCCTTTCTTATAAACAATCTTTGAGAAAAACAGAAAAACAGAGTAGGAAAACAACACTTGCAGGTTGTTTATAATAATAAGCTATCATTGTTTATCTTCAACTCCCTAAAGTCTCACAAGTCGATTTTGGGAAAACTTACCTAGTTTTCTTGCTCTCTGACCAGGCTGTCACATCCACAAGCATCAAGCAATGAGGGCATTGCATTCAGTATTGAACTGGCTGGTTAACAGGACATTTATTGTATTTTTTTTTTTTAATTATGTGCAGGTAAGTGTTGTTCTTGAGCTCTGTACCTCACAAATGCTTTCTGAGTCAACAGCATAAACTGAAAAGTGAAAATTAGGCTACAGAATGTCAGGGTTGTTACTGGCAACTAGAAAATAACCTTGTAGCCTCCTTATTTTATTTCTTGTGCACTTATTTCTGCTTGTATGCTGCAATGTTGGCCAAAATACTGCTGTTACCTGACACCAATAAAGCCAATGGTGTGATTTGTCTCTGTATTTTCAAACTCAAAATGTTTGATAGCATCTTCAAGTTAATTAATAAATATTGCCCTCTGAGGACAGATAGTAAGGTATTAACTAGGCATGCAAACCACTTAAAACTCAGATGAAATGAAGATCTAAGCTGAAGTCATTGTCATGGTTTCACCCTAGCTGGCAGCCAAGTCCCATACAGCCTCTCACTCATGCCCCCACCAGCAAGATCAGGAAGAGAACTGGAAGGATAAAAGGCAGAAAACTCGTGGGTTGGGATAAAGACAGTTTAATAGAGAAAGCAAAAAGCTGCACACACAAGAAAAGGAAAACAAGGAATTAATTTACTGCTTCCCATGGGCAGGCAGGAGTTCAGCCATCTTCAGGACAGCAGGACTCCATCACATGTAACAGTGACTTTAGAAGAGAAATGCCATCACTCCAAACATTATCTTTTCTCCTTCTCCTTCCTCCTTCCCCTCTCTTCCTTGTTTTCCCCACCTTTATATACTGAGCATGATGTCATAAGGTCTGGAACATCTTTGTTTGGTTGGGGTCACCTGTCCTGGCTGTGTCTCCTCCCAGCCTCCCAGTAACCCCCAGCTTCCTCACCAGCCTCACAAAAAGCAGAAAAGGCCTTGGCTGTGTGTAAGCCCTGTTCAGCAATAACAAAAACATCTCTATACAACCCTGTGTTCAGCACAAATCCAAAACACTATCCCATACCAGCCACTGTGAAGAAAATTAATTGCCCTGTAGCCAAATCCAGCACAGTCACGTAGAACACCCCAGAGAGGGTAAAAGAATTTGTGTTCATTTACCAAAACAAATGTGTCTTCCAGAGAAAGAGGTCCCTTATGTCAAAAAGGAATAATCACATCCAAGAGCCTTCAGCATAACTGCAAACTTCAAGAAATCCACAGCATCAAAAAGCCTGAGAGGCCATTGGCCACTGCACCAGAAAGTTTGCCTTTGGCCAAGGGCATACTCATGGAATGAGGATAGAGCAACATGGTTAGGAGACTGTCCTAATTCCCACTTTTTTTTGTGAGCAGCTTTCTTTTACAGGAGAGACTAAAGGTCTGTGAAGCTTGTGCAGTCTTGGTGGTAGTGGGGTTTAAAAGACAAGAGCAGATTGTGAAGAGTGACACTGACTCTATCAGCAAAAGACCCTGATGCTTTAACATGTAAGACATGCATATGTGTATTACAATAAAAACATTCATTTACAAAGGTTATCCATCCTATCTGACCTATCCCTGAAGAAGAAAAACTCTTAAGACTCCAGCAATGTGAAATATTGCCCTGAGGAACATGATATGTCACCATATTCTCACTCTCCCACATCAAAGCTGCAGTTTCTGTATTTGATTCCTGGTATTGATTTAGATTTTTTAAACTCTTAAAATATCATTTCTTCAGGCCAACACCAATCCTAATGGACTTTTTGTGCTCAGAGAAGAGGCTAGAAACTGAAAGGTGCAAGTTAGTATCTAAACTTTTATTAGATCAGAAATGTAGATAGTCACGAACATGTCTGTGAAGTGCTAGAGAATCAAAAAACAGCAGGTATTCAGGCCAGGAGAAGCTCAGCTACCCTGGATATTATGACGGAAAATCCTAGTACTGGAACATAATGGAGCAGTCATTTTCTGAACAATAAAATTATTTGATTGAGGTGGTATCCTTTCCTGCCCTTTCTTGGAACACATTCAATACCATTAGTGGGGATTTTTGTACCTAAAAGGTATGGTTTTGAGTTGTAAAATGTGATTATTCACACTGGAATAATAATGTGAGGCATATAACACTGTTTAGTCCTTAAAGCTGATCAGCTTATCACTGTCCAACACAAAGGACTCCAAAATCAGATATCTGAACAAGCTGAATGTGTTAAAGCAGTGACCAGGGATGCTATGGGAACAGGAGGGTCTGGACTAATCTTTGCAAACATGAGATGTGGTTCTGGTTTTAGTTAAGTACATCAGGCAGGAAAACCAGTGTTCCTTGCTCCTTTGTTTCCCTGTTTTCATCTGCTTCTCGTTTCCTAGGAGAGCTGCATCTTCTTCTCCAGTGACTACTTGGACTGTATTTTCCCTCCATCTGAATTTTTATCCCATCTCTCCCCTTCCTTTTCTGCTGGCTGCCACTTCTGTTCCCTTAGTAGTGATTTCAGGGTTCATGCTGTCACTTGAGTCCCTCAAATGCCACATAGGTGGGTATTTACACCGCTTTTGAATAAATGTTGTTCTTTTCAGCTTCCCCCACAGGGACACGAGTGAAGGCAGGAAGCAGCAGGGAGAGCAGCAGAGCACTCACATGTGCAAGGGAACAGGTCAGTACTTGTTGCTGGTGACCAAACAC